GTTTTTTCTCACCACCCCGCAAACACGGCCCACCTCGCGACCCACTAGACACAATTTTCCAAGAGTCAAATTACTTTTTTCATTGCCCTCACCTCGTGTCGAAAAATGAGTCTCTGCGGTGGTGTGGAAAATGAGAAAAAATGCGAAGAAACATTTTCCCACCGAGTCATTCTGGAAACATTTCCAATTACAGAATTATTTTCATTGAGACACTTTGTCACTGAATTAAAATTCAACGGGGACTTTTACGAGTGCGATGAAAACACAAAAAGCTCTTTATGTGTTTAACAGCATCGTTAGAAAAATGAGGGAGGGGAGGGGATTTTCCTGCCCGTCTTCCAGCACGAGTGCTTCCTGTTGGGGAATTTCCCACACTTGTGACCTAACTACTTCTTCAATAAAATAATTTTCACCAACATTTTGCCACCCACGACGCTTTTGCCATTCTCATTGCTTTCTGAGCTTTCGCAACTTGTGATTCAGACGAGAAATTGCGAAGGAAAAAGTCCTACATTTCTCTGTGGAATTCTTTTTCTAATTATTGAATTAATCGTGGAAGAAATTGTCGATTGACACAGAGAGACATTTTGCCGTCGGCATCGGAGTGTGATTTTGATTACATATTATGACTTCGTTTGACTAGTGCCAATGAGTATTGGAAATTGATTTTGCAGACTTATCACATCGAGTGACTTGATAAAATCACCCTTTCAATCTCCAAGAGAATAATGAATGCAATTACTTTGATAGAAATTCTTGCATTCAGCGCTTCTTTCAATATCGCTCGTCAGGGTGTAGTTACTTTGCAAGAAGCACTCGCGAATGGCATTTTCTTCAAAAGACACATACACACACCTTCGAGCAATTCTTTCGCTGCCATCTGTCCTTATTCCCCATGCGCGCTGTCGAACAGTGAATTTTTGCCATAAGATTGCCATGCTTTGATGCATAAAGATAACATCGCTTTGCAGCGTAAAGCAGGAAATAGAAATGGATGTAAAAATTTCCGAAATACCTCTCACCTTCTGTCAGAGTTGAGGCTATGAATATTTAGATAGCGAGATGGCCCCCATGCACGTGAATTTTTGTGGTGCCACGGCTCTAATATGCAATATTTGTGGTGCTCTCGATATAAAAAGCTCCGCATCACATATTTGCATCATCATCGTCGTCATCGTGTCACATCTCGTCGACGTCGATAAAATTTATAGTGCACATCACCCATAAATCCCCCTTGTAATACCATCGCAAAAGGATGACGCCGCCGGGGTGAGTGAAAAGAGAGCGAGAGTGTGAGCTTTCCGCCCGCGAAATACCTTTAAAGGCCTATATGTATAGAATCATTTGGACTTTTGTGAGTCGTGAAAGCAATTAAAAGTTATTTCTCTGGCGATAAGCGAAATGTTTTGTGGGATTTCTGACTATTCCATGTGGCCAAGGGAGTAATTCTCATGCTTCGAATCATGTCGATTGGGGGAGTAAATAGAATATTTATGAGATACAATTTTATTTCACTGGCAACATCCACCCTTTCGCCCTCAAACCCACACACAGCCAGGCACGCTATATTGTGCTGGGCTGGTGGGGCTCCGTAAGTGATTCACTATCTACCCTATGGGGGCCCTTTGAGGACTGAACCTGCAACCCCACCCATGCACGTGACGGTGAAAAGCGCAGAAATTTACGATGGCGATAATACGCAAGGACGCGACAAGGAACAGACCGCAGAGACCATCAATGTGACGAGTTTGAATTGATCGACTTTCATATAAATGCGTTGTAATGTGCGGGCCATTTTTTAGCCGCGTGTATATGGCACACAAATATAATAATATCGTGCATATGAAATTGTGGTTATACGCGCATTCTCATATCAACATGTGCGGGGCGACTTCTTTTGCAATTTATAGCTTCCGTCACAAGGTAAATACCACGCATAGAGTCAATAAATTTTCAGCATTTTCCACTCTCGTCATCCATCCTACTTCGCACAACGCCCCAACCCCAATGTTGGGGGTGGTTGATGGGAAAAAATTGCCCGAGCCACAATCCATCAGTTTCACTTGCAAGCCACCCAGCACGCACCCAGCTTGGATGCACTCTTTTTGTCCATCACTCATGAGCTTTCACCTGCACTGAACAACCCAATAAATCCGACGGTGACTCGCTCTGCTCCTCAGCGCTCCAGGAAAATCCAACTTTGTCGCGGACAATTGCTCAAAAAGCACAGCGATTATGCAGTAAAAATCGCTGGAGGAAATGTTCTATGCAATTTATTAACTCTTCCGTCTTCCTAGCTTGTTCCTCATGCCTGTATTTCGGTGCAATGGACAGGATGTCCATTGGGAATTAACCACGAAAGAATATGAGAGTGTCCTACTCAAATTCCTGAGTAAATGAAGGAACAACACCGACATTTGTAGGCTTCTCTGAGGATGAGAATCTCTGAATTCAATATTCAATTCTATTTCTGAGACTAAAGCCATTCCACTTTGCATTGATAAAGACGGAACTCTATAATACCGAAGAGATTGATTGAATCTCCAGTGAAGCCTGGAGGAAATGGCAAGGAAAAATTATTGTGGAAAACACAGGGAAATTCAATTAAAGTTCAATATAGTTCGTGTGAAGTGAGAGAATGAGAAGAAGGGAGACTTCTTGACCGCAGCGAGAATTGAATGAGTTCAAATGGCTATTGAGTGGGGAAGTGTGCTCAATTGAGACGAGAGCATTTTCCATGAAGTATCCCCAGTATTTTCCTCAATATCACGGCGAGAGAGACAAAGTGGCGGCAAAACTGAGAGTATGTCGAGGAGCAATGGTGAAAGAGAGCACCAGACAGACTCAGTGGCAACTCATGAAAGCCCTACAATTGACTGCGAAGGGAGATTTATGAATTTTCTCCCAATTGTCAGCAATGGGGTGAAAAGTTTCCCCGTCGCTCGCCGCACACTGACCATCCGGGGAAAACACAATTAAAGACGGATACGAACACAGCGTGTGTGTGGGATTCCCTTGTCCACATGCGAAGCACTTCGAGACTCGTCCAGGTGAAAGCTCATTGAGAAAGCAGAGCAAGAAAGAAATATAAATTAATTGAGTGGAAAGGAATTCATGAATCATTCCCAAATTCAGGGAGAAACACTCCTGTGGTCCAGCATGAAAAAGCTCTCCAAGTCTTGTTTTGAGAGTCACCTTCACAAATCACTCCTATTCCATGTTTGACTTTCGTTTGCGAGATTCCTTCCATAACGTGAAAATACTCTGCCAGGACCTTTTTCTCGTTTCAGCATTATAAATAAAGTATGACGTGACATCGCGTCCAAGTGAAATATATACAATTCGAAAATGCGTCTTGTTTCTGGGGCACCTCGATTAGTCTCTAAATTTTGGTGGGGATTCGAGGTTTCCGTGTTGCTGAGATTTGGTGGAAAAAAAATGCGGCAAAATGAGGAAGATTGATTAAATTAAAAGCTGTTATGAGTTATACCTTGGCGGCGGTCTTTGATTTTTAGGCCTCCACCTTTCCTCCGTTTGTCCATGAGTCGCGCACAGTGCAATTTCTCTTCGCCACGAGTGCATATACACTGTGAGAAAATTATTAATTTGTCTCGACATCGCAGTCTCCCCGAAAAGGGATCGTGGCAGGAATGGCTCGAGTGTGTGAGCAAATCATCTCCCACATACGAAGATTGCCTCCACTATGTTGGGTTTTATTTGTTGTGTCAGATACAACCGGAGATGTCCAATAAAAATATTATTGTCGGCACCTTTTGATGCTGGGTGTGCAATAAGAGAACCGAGGCACACACCGATGAATTCTTGGGTAGAACATCTCTACAACAATGAGTTTACCTGGGATGTATAATTTTTCTGGTTTTGCCTTGCCACGGGAGAGCAAAAAATATTTACAGTGTTATTGCTGTGCATTAATTTTTACAACATAGTCCCGAAACCTCTCAAACGCATTAATTCATTGATGTGGTTCCAGGGTCAAAACTCGCCGAGGGGAATCGTGGTCAGGGTGAGAGTGGAAACTCCGAGGCAATTAAAGTCCTTCAGCGGCGGAGGGTGGAAATTCTGGCCTTTAAATCTCGACTTCAACTTTGTCTTACCTTGGTGCTCAAGGAGTCTTGCCAGCCACTTACATAAACAACCTGACCATCTCTGAGCCGCAGAATTTCCCATTTGCACTCCATTTCGAGTGGGAAATGCTGATGAGTTGATGCACTTGAATCACTGACTTCTATAGGGACTCTGCCAGCGTTGAGGGACCTGAGCAGCGTTGCAGAGAATTTTTTCCAGGCACTCAGCTCAAAGATGGAATCTTTGACTCACTGCCATGAGGTAAACACTGCGGCCATCTCAGGACGGCGGCGATGCTTGGGCACAGTCTGAAAGGCGGGACTTGGCCGATTGGACCAGAGGTTGTCTGTGTGAGAGATGTTTGCATAACAAACTTACCTCACAAGAGGCAGCCATCAGTTGAGCAAATACATCGATTTCCTCCTCTTTTTTGCACCTCTCCATGTACCTTTCCAGAGAGATCGTAGGAGAGGTCAACATTGCCATGCCTTTGCCGCACTTTTTATCTTCACGAAACCCAACGTCTTTGAGATGTTGCTGGAAGGATTCCGATGCGGTCCTTCTCTACACGAGCCTCGAGGGCTGTCGAGAAAGCCTGAACACCATAAGTTTGCTAATGGATAGAGTTGTGGGCATCCCAGCATCCGTCGCTGACCTCATCTCATCTCGATGCCGCGCATCTTCAAAGGTGGACCATCCCTGGTGCCCTGACGTCACTCCGTCCACCGACCAATGGTCACGGTGCTGGAGATCGACAATCAGGTAAGAAGATCGTGCGGAGAAAAGATGTGATATACCGAAACAGTGCTCCGGGCAACCTCAGATCGTTCTGTCCAGCCTCCTCCGCGAGCGCCGTCGTCCGTGAGTGGGAATGAGAGGTCCTCTGTTTGCTTAGTCATGAGTGATCTCATGAGGGAGGGAAAAATGGTCGGAGCATCTCTTGGGCAAATTGGACATTAAAGCTGAACTATATTGTTTTGTTCAATTGGCGTTTGAGTGCGAACTTAAGCGCGGCACTTAGCGCTGGTGCATAAAAAAATCTAATAATTGCTTGAATTAACAGAAAAGTGTTTAAATTTCGTCCGGCATTAAAAAGACAATTTTGATGTCATTTTATCCTGATGTGTATTTAACAAAAAAGTGTGCTTTTTTTCTCTCTGTGGAAAATCGTGGTGTATATCAAACATTTGTGGACACAGAGTCAATTGTGGGGACTTTTTGCCTCCGCGACAGTGTGTACATTTTGCAGTGAAGATCACAACTGCTGAATCTCTTATTTCTAATGCAGCAAAATAAGATATTCCCGACAGTTTCCTTTGCGGGGTGACGCGCGTGAAAAGTCATTGGACAATTTGGCGATTTCGCACGACCATCTGGCGCGCGATGGTCTCAATGGTCGCGATAATAGTGTGATGATTGTGGGAAAATAGGTGCTTTTTCACACGACACCCGCGCACTTTGTGTGGTATTTATAAAAGAAAATATTTGACAAACTTGTACTAATTAATTACTGTGTGCTTAAATACATTTTGTGGTGCTTCATGTTGCCATTACCACTTCGGGCACATTAACAGTTTTGCTAATCAAGTCCTAATCGCCTTTATTATGTGATTTATAAACATTGCCATAGCAAATCCTCCCGCTTGCGGCCATTCGTGTGATCAATCAACTCTCAATCTGCACGAAGGGATAACCTCTTGGCTCCTCCTGTGCCAAGTAGACATCGAGAAGTCCTCGCAGAAGCAATAAAACCAATAGCGTATCACATTTTTTTCATCCCTCAGCCGGGCCCACTTGAGTTGGTAAGTGGATTTTGTTCTGCTGATGGATGGTCAATTGAGAGATGAGTTACTTTTTCTCTTAGTGCGAATTTGCCAATTTCATCAATCCGCACTCCCTGAACTTTAATTCACTTTTCCCACTGCCATAAACTCATCCACGGCGTTTAAGATATTTGCTGGTCTTTTACTGTGAGAGAATGGCACAATTTATCAAGGTGTAGAGTTAAGATTCTGAGCTTTCTGCTCTGAGATTCTCATGGAAACCACTTTGGGATGGATTAAAGACAAAGCTTAAAGTCCTAATGCGCATTCCTAATACGAGTTTGTTGAAAATTGTGAGAAACAGGAAAGATATTCGATTAATTCTTGTCCTCTTCTTCAAAATATAAAAGCAGACCTTAAGTCATGAGCTCTAAAGCTGTTACAACACACAATAAGACGCTGAAATTTCTAATTCAGATACATAACCCATCAATATTGTGCCTTTTGAATGCAATACCTGCGAATCATCGCTTTTCTCGTGAATCAGAGGTAAGAAAAGTCTCTCATCGCTTATTGTGTTTTATTGGACCGTCGGTGGAGGCTCCAATGCTGCAAAACACCCGTCTTCAGAGATGCTTTTAATGACTTTATTATTATTGGTGTGAGGAGCTGCCTGAAAATAATTTACCACTCAGCTTCGGTTTTTTTCTGTTCCCTAAAAGAGACCTTTATGGCGGGGCAACAAAATTGTTACTAGCAAGCATTTCGTCTCGAATTTCTTTCTTCTCACCTTCACCGCAATTTCCCATACGAAATACATCACCTTTGCTGTCTTCGGTGACATTTTGGTCGTGGGTCGTCGTGTTTCAACCTTTCCCAGTGCGCGGTGAGATCGCGAATCAATCTGGGCCACAAAATGGTCATACTTCCCATTATCGCCATGTCGCGATGGGCGATAGACAAATTGAAGCTCAAGGCACTCCAGTGGCCACACAGTGAGGTGGAGTAACTCTTGTGCGCTGTGTTGGGCAAAAAAGTGGAGATGTCGGGTGTCGTCAGTGACTCTAGCCGTTGCCCAACAGACCTCCACATACGTCCATTTTACAATAAATATGTACTATGTACACAGAGCGAACGGTTTCCAGGGAATGTATGATTTTAAATATTAAGTCAAGAGTGAAGAAATAAAATAAGACGGAACACAAATGCGTCTCCACATCACTCGGCAAACTGTACACATGATCCATAAACATAAAAGTCACGAATAAATGAGGAAAATAAACAGAATCTTAATAAAGTCCACGGCGTGTGGTAAATGATGTTTTTCTCTTGAATTTATTTTCGATTTTCAGAAATAATTCCCCGATTTTTTGCTGGCCATCGCTGTGGCCGTCTCGCTCTCACGGCCTGGACCGCCAGTCACCACCCATCTCTGTCAATGCTCGGAGAGTGACTGTATTTGATTGTTTCTTAATAATTCAGACACGATTTGTCCACAAACACGGGGCCAGAGCGCGCAAAAACGTCACGCCAGCAAATACAGAAAGTCCCTCGTGCGTCGTGACTCTCTGACTCATGGGGAAATGTTCGCCAGTGTTTGAGGAAAATCTTGCATTCAATTTTTCACTTTGTCACAATTATCAGACCACCAACACCGCTGCACATGTATCTGATTCCGAACACGCAGCAAAAGCTTGAAAGTTAACGCAAAAGTGCAGAAAGTTCTGTCATGAATAAAACATAAAGTGCTCTCTTAATTTAAGAGATTTACCATTAAATGGACTGAATCAACCGCAGTATTGATTTTGAGAGCTGTCCTGGAAAAAAACCCGCGAATTCCCTTGTATGCACATAAATTGTCGCTCTTGTCGTCTTATTTCAATTCTCCCCAGCAAATCCGCTGATTTTACAAACCAGAAGAATGCAATAAAAAATCATCACCAGGATTAGTGAACAAAGAACCAGCAGTAATTCACAGATCTTTGTCTTCCAATACTTTTTACCATTTCCGCGCCATAGCTTAAAAACCCATGTCTGCATACATAATCTCACCGTTTAATATTTGCTGAATAAACAGCATTACAATGGGAGAGAGAGAGAGAAGAGAAGGATGAAGCTTTCCAACCAACTAGAGTGTAAATTTATTAAATATTAGAAAATATGAGAAAACACTCGAGCGCCGAATTTGACGATTTTTGTGTGTGCTTTGGACATTTTTTTTGTGGAAAAAATACTCTCTTCTGCAGTTTAATTGCTAGTGCAATAGCTCAAGCTCTCTTTGCTATAAATTCGTTCTCTTTGGCGCTGGCAGGAGGAATGGCCACATCACATATTTTATCTGCAATTGAGCCCCTCAATGGCGCGAACGGGGGTGCAAGCTCCAGCTCCGGTGGATCACACAGCAATCGCAGTCCGGATATCGAGCGCAACTTGAACGTGACTCTGGACGACCGAGAATTGTGGCTGCGATTCCAAAATCTTACTAATGAAATGATTGTCACGAAGAATGGGAGGTAAGTCTTGCAAGTGATAGAAAATAAATTGTCAAGCAAATTGCATAGGGAAAATGTAAGAAAAGGGAACTGAAATGGATTTTCATGGCAACCTATTTGGCAGCATTGCATAAAAAGAGTAATAAAAAAATCCGATAAACTATAATATGATTGACAATTTTGACTGGGGAAAAATGAAGAGAAAAATTTGAACTAGTAGAAAAGCACGAAAAGCATTAATATTGTTATTTCATTTTGAACTGTGAAACACAGAAAACGGCCGTGAATGTTAGGTAACAAATAAAACAAATATTAGATTAAATGCGAATGTATATTTTCTCATCGCATGGAAGAGAGAGAGTTCGGTCCCGACAAAATGTGTACAATGATAAGAGGAATGGAGGTGGAGCTGAACATCGATAAAAATATCGCGACTGCTAAACAGCTCCCTTTTTGCCATTGACCAAACTATTATTGCATTGTTCTTCTATGGTTGTTAGTAAGGAATTGTTAAATGAACAAAAATACGCGAGGCGTTAATTGATGAAACCAATGCATTTATTTGCCGGGTACTTGGCAGTCTCACTATAATTTCCTTCTTCAATGCCCCGTGGAGAGAAATTATAGCATCATCTAATCAGCGTGAGACTTTTTCACCCACACAGCGCATTTGGCCTATGCGATGTTCACTTCTGAGATATATCTTCCACTCCTTTCAGGCGCATGTTTCCCGTTGTTAAGGTGACTGCAACTGGACTCGATCCGGCTTTTATGTACACAATACTCTTGGAATTCGTGCAGATCGACAATCATCGCTGGAAGTACGTGAATGGCGAATGGGTAAGAGGCACATTGCAATATTACACGGCGTCGTCAATTAGCGACAAATGCAAAAATTCTGCTAATTGGCAAGTCATTCGAATGTTGTTATTTTTGCTTGTTTTCCTTACCGCATAAGCGCAAACACACTCTGCACAGCTCTTTTTCTCACCACTCCAACAGGTGCCCGGCGGAAAAGCAGAAGCACCACCCTCCAATCCCATTTACGTGCACCCCGAGTCGCCCAACTTTGGGGCTCACTGGATGAAAGAGCCCATTTCATTTGCTAAAGTGAAGCTAACCAACAAAACCAATGGCTCTGGACAGGTAGCGTTTTAGTAATTAAATAGAATCTAAAGAGTAATTGAGTCTTGTGCTTTTGAGCAGGAATCACTAGAAAGCGCTTATGGTTAAAATACGTGAAATTGCTTCGAAGAACTCATTGCAGATAATGTTGAACTCCCTCCACAAGTACGAGCCGCGAGTGCACCTAGTCCGAGTAGGCTCTGAGCAGCGTCGCGTCGTGACGTACCCTTTCCCAGAGACGCAATTCATCGCGGTGACTGCTTATCAGAACGAAGAAGTGACGTCGCTCAAGATCAAATACAATCCCTTCGCGAAGGCCTTCCTGGACGCCAAGGAGCGCCCAGATGTGGTGTACTCTCGGGAGAACACCACCTATGGCTGGTTCCTGCCGCACGGATCCTACACGAGTCCGCAGACTCCGATCGCCACGTGTGAGCGATACACGGGCAGAAGCAGTCGAAATGCCCCGTACACAACCCAGCGACCCAGATCCATCACTAACAGCACTTCATCGCCACCGCCGCCGCCGCCTCCAGTTTCAGGTACACTCTTACTCAATTGCCACCCCGAAGATCCCCTTTCACGCACTCTTTGTCATCCAGTTGACAACACTCCGGCGGTTTTCCCGGCGTATCCAACGAGTTGGCCATCAACAAGTACACCCTCTTACTGGAATCCCGGGAATCCCAGCAGCCCCATAGCAGTTGGTGAGTGCATTTCACGCCCCACCGTAATGGGAATGTGCCAAATGGAGTAATTTGCAAAAAAGGGCGAACAATAACGGGTGAAATATACAAATCATCAACTGTAATATTTATTTTTGCATGACACTCGGTATTTACATAAAGGAATTATGCAAATTTTGGGGATGCGCAATATTTTTGGGGGATCCGCATTTCAAAGTGAATTTATCGAATTTATTTTCAATATATAATCGTTACAGTTCAGTGAATTTGCCGTAATGAGGCACGATAAAATATTGATAATTAGGGAAATTGACACTTTTACTGTTGGCTTTCCCACGATAATGCACATTGTAGGCGGTGCAATTGTGGGATCGGCGCAAATGACATGCTTCTCGCTTTCAGCTGTTTCTCAGGCCACTTCGCCCACGCCGTCGGGCGGCTCGCCAGGCTATGTATCATCGCCAGGCAGCTACACCACCCATCACCTCACGCCCCACAATCAATACATCGGCGCGTCGCCCGCCGACGGCTATCAGCCGGCCGGAGGCTCGCCGACGCCCCTGTACACTTCCTCGTACCAAGTGTACCACCCAACGCCGGCCGTGTCGCCGTCTCACCAGCTCTACGGGAATGTCCTCAACGCTCCGACCATCACCAATCTCGGCTACTCCTCCACTTGGCACAGCGGGGGCGATTATGGCGTCTTCCAGAACTCCTACCACTACCAAGCGCCCGAGTATGTGCCTCTAATTGGGGAGCTAGAGTGAGTGTTTGCCAGTATTAAGTAAACAGTGAGCGCAGAGATTGTATATTCTGACATGTTTTCGAATTTCGCGGACTTGTTATCAACAAATTTGGTTAAACATAAATCGAATTAGCCTTCCTTCAAGTGTGTATGTGTATGTATGTCAAGTACATATGCCACTTTTGCAAATTATTTTATGTGAAAAGCTTTCAAAACTCCTAAAGCATGACCCACATTTGTAAAATTATTTCTACTATTCCTTTAAATGTCTTGAACACCGTATTAAATTTCAAACATTTTAGAGAACAACGAAAAAGACACTGCGCTCCTGTACACTTACCATAATCTTGATGGACATATATGTCAGATACATTGTCTGCTTTTTGTGATTTGCACTCCCAGGACGTACCAGCCACCGCCCAGCGATGCTACTCCAGAAACACCCAAGGAAGAGCCACCAATTTATGGCGGAGGAAACCATCACGCGAGTGCAGAGTCTGTCTTGCAGCTCAAATGCGAGAACCACTCACCAGAGAGCGGAAAGACCGATTTGGCCACAGCCAGCTCCACCACTGGAAATCAGGTCCCCACATCCAGCAGCAGCTGGACCCCTCTCACGCCCCCCCAGTCCCACATATGAGACTGCCGTCGTAAGCGCATTATAGAAATCAATTCTCAAATGGAAGTGTCTTCAGTACACAATCTGTGTTGGACGCTGAGGATGCAAAGACCCCTAGAAATCCTCCCTCATCAGCAGCATTGCACGAACGTCCAAGCGCGCCGTGACATTATAGAGCAAAGATAGATGGAGAAAGTTGTACCAATATTGCATATTTGTTTAATGAAATGATATTTAGTAAATGCCGTAATGCAGAATCTGTCACAAAGTTCAATTTGATTGCATGATGATAATTTCAGGGGAGGCATTTCAAATTGAATGCCCTCTTTGAACTCTTTCACAGTACTTTTTTTCACATCCATTGGACGGCAGACTTGCTCATTAGCCTTGTCATTAGCTGCAAAAGTCACTCATGTGAAAGATGAAACCCTAACACAACATACATACATACTCGTGTAAATATATACGATGTTACATGTGTAATAATTAACAATTTTAATTAACTTCTCTCCTGAGTGAGAACGTGATTGAAAGACTCATCACATGGGTGTTTTTTTTTCAGTAAACTTCCAACGATTCTTCCCTACCCAAGACACTATTGAAGCTTTTGCAAGCTCACTCGAGAGGCGCATAAATTGTGATTTCCTCACACACCAAAATACTGCTAATAAGAGAAATCTGATTCATGGGTAGCATACATACATATATCGACCATTCCTCGTTTCTCATTGAGAAACTTTTCCATCAACTCTTCGGAATATTACATCCTTTCTTGTATGACTTTCGCAACATGTCTAATGTTAATAATATTCGAGAGGGAAAGAGAGAGAGAGAGGGACCAAGAGTATTGGATACGATGAGTTGAAGTTTTCTGCACAAACTTCCTTCCGGCTGTTCACCTTGTATGTGAATATGTATGTACAATTCGAAAGCTCTGTGTTTCCCTTTCGAAATTAAACACAAAGCACATTGAAGATGCTCGCTCTTTTCCCATCCACCTCTATATCTTGATTACTGGAGGGTAAATATGCGTTGATGTACTCAAAATTACTTAGAAATATTACTAATAGCATCGCAGAACCAAAGCACAATATGAGCAGTTTTCTCCCAAGAACCGCGGTATGCAAATGGACAAATATCAAGAATGGAACAAATGCAAAAAAGTCAATTGTAAATGCAGAAAAGTGGATTTTGCAGAGCGCATCGAGATTTATGCAAACATAATGCATTACTACATTCTCTCTGGGGATTATTTGAGATCCCCTGGAGCTCTTAAATATTTGACAAAATGTATGTGATTTTTCTACCAACTGTGTCAGCAGCGGCGGAAAAAATGGATGAGCACGGGGTGAAGAATACCCAGCGACTGATCCTCCAGTGTTGAAGGGAGAAAAATTGCATCGCATTTATTATATGGTGGAAAACAGCGTAGCGCGAAGGGGTGTGAGGAATTGGAGCACCAAGGCGAACATGTTCTCTGGGAGCTTCCTCATCAAATTGCTATTTGCATCATGGAGAATAGAACACATTATCTCCCCACCATCCAGCGGACGCGCCCATGGAACTTTTCTCACGTGAAAGTTTATTTATGTATCCACCACCAAACGAAATCTTCCTCGAGAGCAAATTGAAAAGTTCCTCTATGTGCGAGTTAGAGAAAAATCACACCATTTCATATCCTGATAGCTCAACTCTATATGAGAAAAACGAAAGTTATACAGACTAGAGTTGTTTTTCCCCCAGCGCAGAGATATGCTATCCTTTTGAAGAATCAAATTCACCAACTTCTCCGCTTGTTCTTTGTCCCAACTCTGTGTTATGTAGAAAGTTTCTCCCACAATTGTGGTAGAATTGAAATGGTTCAGCAAACACTTAACTATCACTTCAAATGTATTAATTGCAAAATTTCATAAACAAATATTTTGCAAAAAGTGAGAAATCGCTTCGAAATCTCTTATCAGTTCTTCCTTTGCAGCGTGTTTCTTCACAAAGCGCTTCCCCGAGCAGCTCGTCTCTTCTGCACATTTATTCCCACACTTTCCACCCACATCATAGCTGTCAGCGCGAGCTTTTCCGGCAGGGCTCTTGTGTGTAATGTGCGGCCGGGAGGAAAAGTGCGGCTCCTCATCCGTGACTCACCGAAGGCGACACATTGCGTTTGCGATAACTGTCATGTCGCTGAAAGTCGAGGAATATTTTATGAGAGCATGTTGAATGCGCCTCATCAGGGTGTCTTTTGTGAAAGATAAACGCTCCGTGGTGTACTTGAGGGATGCGCCAACAAGTGTTTCCCTGGGAAATGCGAGGGAAAAAATGTTCGTGACTATTTATTCAGAGGCAAATGACGGAAATAACCTCGGAGAGAATGGACGAGGAAGGAGAGACTCTGTGCATATTCGTCTAAAAAATATAAACAAGTAGTCGAGAGTCATTAATTAAAGGAGTCTTCTCTTTATTTATACAATACTCCACATCTCATGGGGTGGAACTGTGTTTGCTCAGGGGCGAAAAGCACCCAGAAACGCTGTTTGCATTTCAAAAGATTAATTGAGGTCTTTTTTGCACTTTCACCGCACTGTCATCCAGTGTGTATTTAAGAAAACGCCTTTATTTCACCTCGAAGTAGTGCACAAAATCATGGCAACTTGCTAGGAAAAGCGTACTAGAGCTTGTATGAAAAGCCATTTTGCAGGTTTACAATCAATTTCCGTTTTTTTTTTGCACAATATACACTCTTTGGGATGGCACAAAGTTACAAATTGCATTAACAATATCTCAAATGAAATCAATTTGTCAGTCCATAAAATCACATCAGTGTGTCCATATTTATTGAGTCCCTTTGATTTCTTTTTCAATAACCCAAATTACACTGTGACTGCTCGGAAATGACAATTCACTTAATTGAACAATTTGGACGCTGCATTTGTCCATTCAATTCTCATACAGGGAATATTCAAGCAAAATACACTTTTCCATTATCGAATTGGACTTTTATGCCTGACTTTATTGCATTGCTGAATTCGTTACGGAAAAGCCTCTTTGAATACATTTTCATATTTGTAAAATGTGACTTTTTTACAGTCCATGAAAATCACACCATTTAATTACTATAGAAATAAATGACAGTTTTGATACGGTTATTGTATTAATTTTTACAATAGGGAAAAGCTCCCTTGAAAGGCCAATTTTTAACAGAAAAAATGTGTATGAAATGATGACATTTTAAATGTGTATAGAGTTACCTTAAAACACACATTTTACACTTTTCAATCGTGGAAAAAATTATTGTTATTTATATTACATTTTGTCACAATATTAACTAGAGATGCTGAATACGCCCATTCAGAGGCCACGCCCACTTGTTAGAAATATTCCATTTATTACACTTCAGGTTCTAAATTGTATTAAAAAGTGTTCATTTCCGTCTGAATTCTAAAAGAGCCTTATCGTTCCCAGACTTAAATACAAGCCTAACAAAACGAATATGCAATTGCTAATTTAAACTAACATAGATAGTATTATGAGCCATAAACATTGTAATTAATTTCAACGTGAGTAATGTGACAATAGCATAAGCATAAAAGTAAATTAACGTGGAGGCGGCGAATAAAATATTATAGAAAACTGTGCGAGCTCGGCGCAATAAATGTGTAGAAGCCCTGGAATGAGGGCTGATGCGGGGTGTGGGTCAAGACACGCATTTCCATGGTTGACACGAAATTCCCCATTGCTGCTCACTAGACGCTCATGGAGTTGTACATAAAATACCAACTCGGGGAGATGGATTGTCCCCAATGTGAGCCACAGACAATTATAATTTAATACATGCGAATCGCATGAATGGCTACTGCGGTGGAAGGAAGCTCGAGGTGAAGCTCACCGGAAATAGCATTAGCAGAACCGGAGTGTGTGTTTTTGGTCGGAAACACTGCTGCTGAAGGATGAATTCCTTCTGGGCCACCCTCACATGGGCATTGCTCGCAAGTACAAACAATTCCCCATTTAATTGTGTGCTCCAGATCAAATGAAAGTACAAATTGTCTGTATGCAGAGTGTCAATATTTGAAAAATTATCCCCGAATGTCCAATGGCAAATCGCTTAGCAAAATTAATTATCGGCCAAGTGGATGTCAGAAGCATATTTATACTGCCCAAGTGTCCTATAACCCACTTCCTGCATTGAATTATTATAAAATTAATTTGCAAAACGTGAAACACATTCGGTAAGCACAGCCTCACACCTCTAATGATTCATATGCGGAAGAGAGCAAATATTCCGGTTAAACTATTTTGGCCGGGATCATTTTTAATTTCTAATTCCTAAAATTCATTATACGGACTTTATTTTTGGACTGTGCAAATATTGAAGTCTATTTACATATTTAGATGGAAATTTGCAGAATATAATTACTCATGTGCACATTTCAAATTCTACAAATTGAACGTACACAGCTATGAAAAGTCAATTAATTAACTTCAACAGCTTTAAGAACAAATTCCCTTGATTCTATACAATGAATACACTTCCATGCAATGGAATCCTTCGTCTCTTTGTAAAGCTGAGAGTATTCTGCAGAACCTGTGAAATGTTGAAAATGTTGTCTTCTGAGACTTGTCGTGTGACTCTACGCTATTTTAGTGAATAAAAAGGAAAGAACTAGTGCAATGAGAGGATCCATTAGACTTAACTTCCAGGTCAATGAATTTTACTCCAAAATATCGACATTGTGCTACCCAATGGTTGGCGTGTCGATGGGAATTTGACAGTTGGAATGTCTTAGAGAAACATCTTGAATTCCAGACATGAAGTGTGCTCAAATGAGCGACAGTAAATATCGACGGAGTTGTTGCATTAAGTCACTGTGCGGATATCTTTGGGGCTGCCTTGCTGTCGAGATGTCGTTGAGCACGCAAATGGACAATTTCTCTTCAGTTGCTCAGCGTCGTTTATTCGAGCTCATTGAGGCACAATACATAAGTCAGAGAGAGGATCCTGTGTGCCGGATACTTATTGGTGACTTTAAGGGCCTCTAAATCACAATATTTATCTACACTCCAAAGCGATTCGCCACTTCAATGAGCCCCGGCGCTCTTTTAAGTATCATACCAAGGAGTACCATCGATGATGAGACCTTCACCTCAAACACCCCTCTTGCGTCCCTCAGTCGCCAGCGGGCGAGAAAATCTGCCGAGGACACCCTCATATTGTGCCACGGCTCAGAGTGGAGTGCCAGAGTGCACAAATGGCTTATAGATTTGGAGGAGATATGAAATATTGAGTCACTTATTGCTTCCGGCAAAGCCACTTGCTATTGTGCAATTTGAATTAATATCATCGACGCCTCCGGGAGGCCTCA